CATGCTAGTGACTGGGAGGAGCCTACAAATGCAGAAGGGAACCAAGAACTATTACTTTATTCATCTGAGGATACTCAGGAGCTGCAACTTTCATTTATTACATTTTTCCAAACTAATTATATGTATTACCATATTTTGGCTACACATTTGTTCTGAAAGAAGCCCTGAGTATGTGTCAGGCACATCCCATTTTTTGAGTGGCCTTAGACAAGCCATTTAATTGCTCTGTACTTCTCTATAGAATGGAAACGGTAGCAACAGTTTGCTGTGAGAATTAAAGGAGGTGATTCCTCCCTCTAAAATGTAATCTTCAAGTACAGTTGTTTTTTTTATTTACTATCATCTTCCCCTTGCTTAGAATAGTGCCCAGAAAAGAGTTGATGTTCAACGAAACTTGGTTAGATAAATGGATGGATGAAAGGATGGATGGATGAATGGATGGATGGATGGATGGATGAATGTTAGGCACAGTTCCTAGATCATAGTAAGCCCCTAACAAATGGAGATTCTCTTTCCTGTCTCTGTTTCTCTCAATAGAAATGCAGTACAGAGCCTGCAAGGGTGGAGTGAGGTGTAGGTATTATGGGATAGATGTTTTCTAGATTGCTGCTATCAATACCCACTACTCAGAAATAAGTGTTTATGCTCAGTTCCCTGAGCCAGGAACTCTTAAGAAGTTACTTTTGTATCCCACTGTGAAGTTTCCTGTTTCCATAGCAACTCCCCAAACCCAAGTGGCTGCTCCATGGGCATCTGGCCTTAGTGCAGGCTTGACCTGAACTTCAGAGACAGCTGTGGTGATTCAGGCATTTCTCTGAGTAAATAATTGCCCCAGGACACCATTCATTTTAATTCTCCCTCCCACTTTCTCCCTCTTCTTATGATCCTCCTGTCACTATCTACCTTTTTGTCTTATGTTTCTGTAAGGAACAATTCAATTTCTAATATGTTCTGATATTGTATAGGACAAAGAGTTACATAAGTTTTGGTTTCTGCTCTCAGTGATGAGGCACATCACTATAGATGATTTGGAAATTTTCATTTATCAAGGATCTGCTACATGCCAGAAACTTCTAGGCATTTGACATTTACTGTCTCATTTAGTTTTTACAACACTCACAAAGGTAGGTCATTTATTACTATTTTCTCTATGAAAACCTGAGAATCAGTCAACGCAATTAATTTGCTTCACACCCACAATGACTCCTGAAGACTCTGGAATACTCTGAAGCTGTAAGTGACCTATGAGATGCAATTAGTCCAATGAGGGCCCAGGCAAAGTATTAGTGACCCCTTGGTCCTCTGCTGTCTCTCCCCAGACCAGGAATCTGCCTGTGCAGCCCAGGTGGTATATCTGGTAATTGAATAATTAATGAAAGCAATGCCTTCACATCCCTCTCTGCTGATACATGGGCCAAAGATGAGAAATGCTTTCTCAGAATGCACAAGGTACTGTTTCTCATGACTCACTCAACTGGGCATTTGCTTCCCAAGCCAGGAGCCTCCACCCACCTTTCACACCTTATCCTATGAACCTGATTCACCTTCCCAAGAATCTGTTCATGCTGGACTTGTCTTTACCTCATCCTCCTCTCCAGGATAGCTTCATAGAATCTCAAATAGAATTTCAATGCTGCTAATAACTGTTATTTGAGAGGGGTTTGTTAGGTAATTAGGCTTGGAAGAATATGTCTGGTGTTTAAAGTGAGATCTCTGCATGACATCAACCCCTAGCCCATCTTCTTTCTCATAGAAAACATTGATGTTAGCTTGCTTATACTATTTAGTTACTAAAATAATTGTATTATCAGAGTTTGAAGCATCTTCTTGTGGCACTCAGATAAGAGATAAAACGTGGTTTTTTTAGTCCATGATCATTTTAGGTGTCAGGAATTTCTCAACTCCTAACACTAAAACCATCTTTCCATTTAATTTATTTTTTCATTTATTTGTTCTACAATTGGAACAACTGTAAATAAGTGAACTTTCCTACTATACTGCGCATTTTCTTAGGACTGGGAATAAAGACAAGGATCCTATTCTTAAACTAAGCAACTTCTGGGACCAAGGCAATGAGATATGCTTCAGAGACATAAAGATGGAGAATATGGAAACTTTCCCCTCAAGCAGCTCACTGTTTTTTAAGAAACATCAATATCCATAAAGCAAGGCTGTCGTGAGGGCTCTTGTTCTATTGGAACCATTAGTATGTCCAGTTAGTTGGCATTCTTTTTGATTGGTTGTTATCTGTATCATGATGATTATAATATTGTTACTGCCATTCCTGGAAGTGATCCTGTTTTTATTGAGATTCTACCATATGCTAGACACTATGCTAAGCATTGGGATATAATGGTGAGCAAAAGGCAGCATTTTTCTGAAGGACTTTACTGTCTGTAGACTAGACTCCAGCATTTGGAATAAGGTTTTTGTAGAAACACAATGGATGTAGGTAATTTATCTGTCTAGGCATGAGTAATTTATATTTTTCCTGAATCTGAATGAGTGGTGATGGTTGATCATAATGACTTACATCTGTAAACTCAGCTAGTAGGGAGATAAAGATTGGGAGCCCAGACAAAAAGTTAGTGAGACCTCCATCTTAACCAGTAGCTGGGCATGGTGGCATTCAACTGTCACCCCAGAAATGCAGAAAGCATAAGAGAATCACAATCTAGGCTGACCTAGACTGTCAAAACAAGAGATCCTATCCCCCAAATAACTAAAACCAAAAGGGCTGGGGGAGTGGTTCAGGTTTATACCACTAGCAAGAGTGAGGTCAAGAGTTCAACTCCCCCAGTACTAGAAGAGGGAGGAGAAAGAGGAGGAGAAGGAGAAGGAGGAGGAGGAGGAGAAGGAGGAGGAGGAGGAGGAAAGAGGAAGAAGAGTGATGGGGAGGAAAGGGATAACGAAGCAAGTAAAATTCTATCAAAAGAAACAAAACCTACACCAATATTAACACAATGAAAGCTTGATTGTGAGGATACTGCACAATTCAGACCCCCAGCACCTGGGCCAGGTAGGAGAAAACACAGAGGGTCTGAGTGCAGGGAACCTTCGTGAAAGGCCATTGGTGCCAGGCTAATGAATATGGATCTCATGCTGTGATGAGATGTTCTCATGCCCATGAGAACACTCCATGGGTTCCATCAGGCAATGAAGTGGACAGAAACATCCATACCTCTCTCATCCCATAAACAGAGAGACAATAGAAGAAATAAGGGGGGATATGTGAAAATGCTACATTGTTAGAATAAATAGAGCTGCATGACTATTTCGATTCTGCAAAAGCAAAGACAGAAGACTGAATGATGACGTCTAAGTGTTTGGTCATCTAATTGGTGGTGGTGCTCTCAATACGTTAAGGAACTTAGTAAGGGGGTGGATTTCAGCAGGGGATGATGTGCCCTGTTTTGAATGGTTTATAGTTGACATGTTCATGTGGTGGCCATGGAGCAGTGTCCAGGAAGTTTGGGGACAGAAGTTTCCTTAAAAGAAGAGCAACCAGGTAAAAGAAATGTGGGGAATATTGCTCAAAAGCTGGTAATCAAAACATTGAAAGTAAATGTAAAGAGATGATCTCAAAAAAAAAAACACCAATCCAAAAAAAAACCTCGGGACAAACTCAGTTTCTCTTTGCTTGTCCAGTGAACTCCTCGCCATGCAGATCCATCTATATGTTCCACTGTATCCATAAAATTGGTTTTTGTTTTCCAATGCAAACCCACACACACACATTCACACACTCTATCCTTTATCTAGGTCTCCAAGCAATTTATCTTGGAGTCTGATTAACTGTGGATGAACTTGATTCTGTCTTAAACTGCAACTCCTAAAGAGCGGGAGATGTTATTCTGCATGAAATGTGTTTCACAAACTAGGTGCCCAGTAAGTGCTAATAAAATTGCTTTGAGGTGACCAGCTTCTATCTGTTAGGCCCTTGAGGATAACAGACTTTACATATGCATATGTTGTGAAATCATCATAACAATCCTGGGAGATGTTCATTATCTTCAACACACATGTCAGAGAACTGAAGTTTGGAGGATGAAGCAAGTCACACAACTTGTGGGGTATGTTAGTAGCTTTCTATCTCTGTAACCAAATACCTGAGAAAATCAACTTAAAGGAGGAAATATTTATTTTGGCTCATGGTTTTGAAGGTTTCAGTTCATGGTTACTTCGCTCAAGGTGAAGCAGGACACATTGTGGAGAACATGTGGTGAAACAAAGCTGCTTACCTCAGGGTGCCTGGGAGTGAGTTAAGAGAGAGGGAGTGGGGAAGAGGTAAGGGACAAGTTGTAACCTTCTAGGACATGCCCCCATTGACCAACTTCCTCCAACTAGGCCCCACCCCTACTGTTTCTACCATCTCCCAATACTCCATTCAACTCTGAATCCATCAGTGGATTAATTCATTGATGAGATCAGGGCCTTTGTAATCCAAAATTTGCTGCACTGGGGACCATGCTTTCAACACGAGCCACTGGGAGACATTCCAGGACAAAGGGTAAAATCCAAATTTGCACCCAGAATTATCTAACTCCAAAGCACACACTCATTTCATTAGCTCCTAGTGAAATCAACAACACAATGTCTTCTCCGTTGTTTCTGAAGATTGTTTAAAATTATTTAGTTATCAAGAATAGCCAACCAAATTGGAGCAGAGAAAATTAACATAAGTTTTAGAAAGCTTGTTTCTTACATTTTACTAAAAGAAATAATGAGCCTATTTCCAGAGAGTTAAGCCACAATCCAAGGAGTGAGTACAGAGGTTGGAAAACATGGTTTCCTTTCTTTCCTTCTTTCTTTCTTTCTTTCTTTCTTTCTTTCTTTCTTTCTTTCTTTCTTTCATTTTCTCTCCTTCCTTCCTTCCTTCCTTCCTTCTTTCTTTCTTCCTGCAGATTCCCATTTGGAAAATAATAGAATTTTCAAAGTCCATGCCATCCCAGTTTCCTCACCTCATGGAATTATGTCTTTGTGTGTGTTTGTGTTACTAGGTTTACTGAAAAGCCCAGTGAATAAGACAGCCCTGACACTGATTGCTGTGAGCTCCTGCATCCTGGCCATGGTGTGTGGCAGCCAGATGTCCTGTCCGCTCACTGTGAAGGTGACTTTGCATGTGCCTGAGCACTTCATTGCAGATGGTAAGAACCCAGCATCGAAGACCTCCCACAACTACTCAGGACTTTGCACCCCTGGCTGATCAAATGGCTCTAAGTATGGCCCAACCTCAGAGTTCTGTTTTATACATTAATGGAGAAGAAGACACATCTGAAAGGCTTCAGAAGAAACCCTTATCATTTTAAGTCCTGGATTACTAGAACTAAAGACTGCTTTTATGGGTGGGAGGAGTGGCTCAAGTGGTAGCATGCTGCCTAACAAGCATGAGGCCCTGAGTTCAAACCCCAGTACCGCCAAAAAAAAAAAAGACTACTTTTATTCTATGTGCCAGGATAAGGTTTTTTAAATGCAGGAGGAATTCACATGTGAATGCAGAAAGATGCAACTGCTTCAGAGAACCTACTTGTTCTGATTGTGCTTGTGGATCCTGTTCCAAATGTAAAATGCCCCTCAAAGACTATTTGCTAATTAAAAGCAAGAAAGAGTACATGAAGCTTATTGGAATGTCCTGCATGTTCTAGAGAATACTCATCTCTCATTCCCTGTAAATGTGCTTTACAAGTATCTTACATTCTACCACTTACTCTTCCCCAATTAAATTGAATTAATGAGACACTGTAGTCACCATGGTCATTAGCAAAGCCTGGTCCAAGAAACTGACTAAGGATCTTTATGTCTATGGCTAAAGTGTCCTCTAGAAAAGTCGATTCAGTTTACACCCCCCAGCAGGGCACACTAGCACTGGTTCTTGGAAACTTTGTCCTCATGTGTATTACTATCTTTAGATGTATTAAAGTTTAGCATCAATATTATAATGAACAGAATTTTAAGTATATAACTTATAGTATGCTTTAGTTTTTAAACATTTTTCATTTTATTTATTTTTTGGCAGAACTAAGGTTTGAACTCAAGTCTTTACTCTTGCTAGGCAACCACACTTGAGTCATGTCCCAGCCCATTTTGCTTTTAGTTATTTTTCAAATAGGGTTTTAGCCTTTTGTCCAAGGTTAGCTTTGGATCAAAATCTTCCTACCTATACCTCCCATGTAGCTAGCCTTACAGCTTGTTCTTTGAGATAGGGTCCCATTTAACTTGTTTTTGTATGGGCTGGCCTCAAACTGTGACCTTCTTATCTCCACTTCCCAAATAACTGGGATTACAGGCATGAGTCACTATGCCTGGCCTCATGCTTTTTCAACTTATACATTTTGATTGGTTTGGAAATAAGTATGTACCCATAAAACTGTCACTATCCATGATGCCATAAGTGTAACCATCACCACTGAAGGTGTTCTCTTTCCTTTTATGTGTGTTAAGAACATTTAACTTAAGATTACATGAGTTCATTCATCACAAACCAAAAATCATTTCCAGCACATCAGAAACTTCACTCACATCTCCTACCAGTTAATACTCTCCAGAGGTAACCAATCTTTTGACTTCCAGAACAATGTTAGTATTAGTAATTTTGTAAAATCCTTTTTCATTGGATATGTATAGAATGTTTTGAGATCCTTTCCCTATGTTTGTCAGCCTCAGCTCAATGTAACACATCTCATTTTTATTTTGTAAATTATGCTGTCCTGAACTTATACCCCCTTTCTCTGAAAAGTCCATACTCGTATTAATGCATCCTCTGCTTAGTCCCACTTTACCATGGGGAACTTGTTTTTCACTTGGACTGCAAATAAGCTCATTTGATGTATAGTCACTTGCTTTTCAGATCTATGTACAAGTATTCTGTCTTATCCCTATCAAATCACATGTACATAAAAACAGATAAACATGTGCCTGTGAGATAGCTGGGGAAGGCAGAGGAAGGCAGAAGAAATAAATTTTACAAGAGCAATAAGGCAAGAGGGTTCATGGGCTGAATTAATTGCCAGAAGCCAAGAGGGTCTGGAAAATTGGATGGGAGAATAAGAATAATGAGCACCGAGTTTGAAAAACAAACAGGGGAAATTATAACCATTATGAAAGGCATGCCTCCACCTGTTACCCTCACCAATCACTACTCACTCATTGTTAAGTGTTGGTTCTTAAAGATATCCAAGTTTTAACTATTTATTTGCATATATATAGAAATGGTGGTTCTTAATGACTAACTTACTCCAGGCTATGGTAAAATAGTGTAATGGCTAAGGGCACAGGCTTTGAAATGACACAAACATGTATCCAAATGTCTGTTCTATTATCTGCCACTTCTGTAACCAAGTGAATGACTTACTCTTCTTGTTCTTCCACCTCTGCATCTATAAGATGGGGTAAAGAGGCCAGGCATATGGCACATGCCTGTCACCCCAGCTACTCAGGAAGCAAAAAAGCTAGCAAGATCTATCTCAACAAATAAGGCAAGCATGGTGTTGCATGTCTGTGAACCAAACTATGAGGAGGTGCACAGGAGAACCTATTGGAAAAAACAATAACTAAACCAAAAAGAGCTAGGAGCATAGCTCAGGGGGTAGAGTGCCTGCTTAACAAGTGCCAGGCCCTGATTTTAAACTCAAGTACTGTGCTCCTAACCCCAAAATAGGGATGAGAGTCATACTTGTCTCATAGGGGTATTGTGAATACTCCAACTTCTGCTTCTTTCCCATGTTTATCAAATTTTGAGATTGCATGTAGCTGGGAAATAGCAAAATCAAAGGGTTATTTAAGAAACCTATAGACAGTCTTGATGATTTGCAAGGGCAGACCTTTTTCAATGGCCTACTGATATTCCATCTGACCTCTGTCATAGACATAAATTTTTATAACTGCTATGCACTTATCTATTTTTGCCCCTAGACTGGAATCTCTGTGTGAGGAGGAACTGGGTTTTTTGGGAGAAATATTGTTATCTCTGATGATGCACAATTCCTGGTCCATGATGGATATTCAATAAGTATACATTGAGTACATTAATGTTGCTTGTTAAAGCAGAATTGTTAATGGCTCTGTGAGAGTCTTCTACTAGCTTTCTAAGCAAAGGGGAAACTCAGTCAAATAAAACTAAGGATGAGGCATGATAGCACATGCCTGTAATCTCAGCCCTTGTTAGGCTGAGGCAGGAGGTCACAGGTTCCAGGCCAGACTGTGCTATTACATAGTGAGTTCCAGGTCAGAGTTTTATAAATGTGCCTGAAGTTTATTTTCATCAGGTATAATAAGATATGCAGATATTGAAATAACTGTCATGAAACACAAAGTTTTTATACTCACAGATTCCAGAAACAGGATGTACAATACACCATGTAGATCCACAGCATACACACACTAGGACCTGTCAAGACTCAGAGGGCAAATGGAAAGTGCAGGCAAGAGCCTGAATTGTGGTCAGTGACAAAGGAAAGGATGAGGCAGGATAAGCAGGATAGATAGGTTTAGGAATGGCTAGTTGGAATATTTTTGGCAAGTGATGAGGTTTAGGAATTTAGATGCTGCCCCTAGTTGCCTAGGCTCTTGCCCTGTGGTGATGAGTGCATGAACCACAGGAAACAGTCTGGGCTCAGATAGGTTAATTTGCATATGAAAGTCATGCACCTGGGCTTGTCTTTTGCTGTCTCTGAGGGGGCAGTCTCTCCTCAGTTAGGAAGGCCCGAATACCAGAGCATCAAGAATACAGAATGCAAAACAAGTCATGTTTAGAGCAGGGTAGAATGGGAGGAGTGTAAATGAAGAGGGTAAAGATGGGTGAATTTAGTTGATGTATAAATATGGAACACTGAAACCTGTTGAAGTCATTTTAAGAAGAGGGAGAAGGAAGAGGAAGAATACCCAAATCTGGGTACATTGTATGCATATACAGAGAGGTCACAATGCCCTGTACCCTATTATATGGTAATAAAAACATTAAAAACAAAAAAAAAACAGAAAGTATAGTTAATTAGAAATAACCATGGAGTTCTGGACAAGTTCTGGAGATGTAATGGAGCAAGCGTCTCAGGCAGCATTGGGAGAGCCTGACCCACAATATCTCAGTCTCCAGACAAAATGTAGTCTCCAGCCCTTACATGATGTTACGTCTTGGTTAGAAATGTGTCCTTTTAAATGAAATAAATTCAGGTTTGGATCTCAGTTCTGTCAGTTTATTACCATGAAACATAAGTGAATCAAATAGGGAATAATTCTCACAAGTGGGAATTACTTTGAGAGTAATGAATCACTTGTGTGAAAAGTGCCTACTTAGGTCTAAAACATTGTGATTTCTCAATAAATGGTAAGTAATAGCATTCTTATTCTTTGAACAACTCATAGACCATGGGACTTCAGAAGCTGTGACATGGTGGGGCAAGACAATAGAGAAGACTCAATAGGTGAATTTAACTGCTCTCCTATGAGGAGGTACATGATGGAAGCGACTTTCCCACTTGAAGATCTTCAACTCCTGGGCATCAGCAGGAGTCCTGAGAGCAGCCAGAACCTGGAGTCAGGTGATGGCTCTCCAGCTTCCCAGTATGATCCCATTTCTACGGCAGAAACTGAATTTACTACTCAGCTGTTTCCCCTTAACAGTTATCCACACTGAAAGATAAGGGAACAGAGATTATCAGAGGAATAGAATCCAGTCTTCTGTTGGGGTGGAGAAAGATCTAGAAAAGAACAGTTTTTTATTTATTGTTCTAGTGGGGTTTCTGGTTTCAATTTCTAGAGATACCAGGCTGTTATGTAAGGGGATAAGACAGAAAGTGTTGATGGTGACTATTTTCCTGGATCCCTGTCATCACTGGGCATTGATAATTATAAATGTGCTATGATCTATCATAAATAGAGTAAGTAATACAAATGGAGAGTGTACAATCAATTCAATGATATTTTACACTTAGATCATTATAAGGGCCCCCTAAGGCCACTGGCAGGTTAAAAAAAAAATCATAATGAGACCCATCACGGTGATGGAAGTTCATGTCAAAGAGGACTAGTTCCATTTGAGACCAGTTCTCTCAAGGACATAGTTCTCACCCTCTCTCACCCTCCCCCAGGAGCTCCAGCTGCCAGGGCATTGGCCTGTCTTGGTAGGGAGAGCTATCAGCCAAGCTTGCAC